AATTTTTAATTTTGAAGATAGAGACCAAGACAGGATGATTGTCTAATAAGTCTCCTTAATGTCATTATTTTTGCAGATAATGTATTTAACAGCCTATCTGTTGAGTTTTACTGAGAAGTTATCATTTCTTTGCATAGAAATGTGTCTGTGGATTTGTTCCTGGATTTTGCACAATACTGTGTTTTCTCAATAAAATTTGTTTGTTGAAAAAATTCCTACATGAATGTTTGATTATTGAGAATGAATAAAAACTTTATCAAGCAGGGCATAGTAGTGCACACCTGCAGTCCCCAAAACTTGGGATGCTGAGGCAGGAGGATTATAAGTTTGAGGCTAGCCTTTGCAACTTAGGGAGATCCTGTCTTAAAATAAAAGAATAAATCATAAAAAGGGCTACAAATATGGTTCAGTGGTAAAGCACCCCTGGGTTCAATTCCCACTACTGCAATAAATAAATAAATAGTATTGTATTATCTAATACCATCATATGAGAAGTGATTTTTTGCCCTTTACATGAGGACACTTATTTGGATATTGAGGGGTGGCATAATAATCTAATTCTGCTAAAGATGAGTCAGACATGGAGGGACTAGCAAGAGTCCAGCAGAAGGGTCAGTTCAGAAGTCTTAACACCAAAACTGGAAACAGTGATCAGAAAGTTGATTTCTGGTCCAGCCTGCATTATATTCTTGTTTCTTGAGTCTTAGAAATTTTCATTATACCACACTACCTGCCATTGAATGGATTTAATGAAGAGTTAAGATTCTTCTTGTCATCATCTGTTCCTTAAAAATATCAATACTTAGTGTATGTGGAGGCACATGCTTGTAGTCCCAGCTAATCTGAAGACTGAGGAAGGTGGATTACAGGTTTGAGTCTAGCCTGGGTAACTTAACGAGACCTGTATCTCAAAATAAAAAAATAAAATAAAATAAAAAGACTGGGGTATAGCTCAGTGTTAAAGCACCACTGGGTTCAATCCCAGTACAAAAAACAAGAGTGTGTGTGTGTGTGTGAATACTTTTCTGACTATGTAAAATTTCCAATTAACTACAATTACATATCTATTGGACAGCTGAACATTGCTTAAACATTACGTAAATTAGCAGTTTTATTTGGTAACTAGGTGCTGGAGCCTCCATCCCCTCAAAATTTCAAGATATGTGTTATTGTCCTAAGGAACTTTTAGTTTTATAGTCATTAGAATATCTCCTCAGGGCAAAAGATAATAAGACTTTTATGGTCAGTCCTGTCTGTAGATTTGCCATATTGGATGGTTGGGCTTAGGTCTGTCCCTGGGGTTTCATAGACATCTTGTCTGCAGAGGTCTTTGAATCTATACTTGCCATTCATTCTAGAGGTTCTTTCCGAGACATCTCAAGTCCTACTTCAGAGTTCAAAGATCTTTCTCTCTTGGTTCCTCATTGCGGCTGGAACTTTATTTCTATCCTCATTGTGACCTTCTGGGTATTAAGGAATGAGTCACCCATCAAGTCACTTCCACTTCCCTATGATTACCCATGCCCACATGGTATTCTACCCACATAGTGGGTGCCCCTTTCCTCAGGAATTCTTGGGAATGCTGGTCCAGGTAGTAGCTCCATTTCAGCAATGATATAGCCACTTGTGGGCATAGATGGCCTTTTCACACTCGTGATGGTGGTCTAATAATGAATCCTTGTCATTGTTCAGCTGAGGCTTGCAATGCTGAACTCTACTATTATTGCTGTTTTCCCTGTCTCCAGTCACACAAATCATTGAATACTGATGAAATGCCTAGGGGTTATGATAACTTCTAGCTTCAGTTTTTGAGAATCATACAAATGACTGAGTCTCCTATTCAGTTAAAGGGCCCCAGCTGCTTGCCCTATAAATAAACTTTTAAAAGAGTTGTAATTAGACCAAGCTGAATCCTTTTTGACATCAAGACAGGCTCAGGTAGCTTGAGTAGTGGCCAAACTTAGCAGGCATTATCCTCAGAGAGAAAACCCAATAAGGAGATTCAGAGCTTGACCAGTCAAGGGTCAACAAACACCTGACCACACTCCCAATATAGGAAGGGTGTGTAGTCCTTGTTATGTATGACGTATATCTCAACCATTGTGAGAACCTGTCCCCTGACTTGGTATAGTCAATAGAAACATTTGGGTTTCTGAGGCTCTTGAGAGTAGAGAGAAAAGAAGTCAGTATCCTGGGAAACCACCCAGAAATCAGCAAAAGATTGTTATAAGGTGTATTTTTCCTTAAGGTCCTGGCTGAGATGCCATAAACAGTTCAGGTCAGCCAACATAATGACCCCCAGAGCCTAACAGTAGTTCCTATTGGCTATGTGAATGTTACCTCGAACAAAATGAACCAGACAAAGTAGAGGGCAACATGAAGAGACCGGGTCACTCAGCAATTGGCAGAGAATCAAGAGTCTTGCCCTTTGCAGAGAGACATTTCTCCATCTATTTCAGAAAAAAAGATAAATAGTTACTGAGTTTTGTCTCTGTGTTATAATTTGCCCAAGAGGTATCCTCTAAAAGATCCTATTAATGCAGGGATATCAGGGATATTCAGAGGTAAAATGATTAGATCATGGGAGCTGTAACCTCATTGGTCCATCCTGGTTTGAATGGACTGGTTGGGTGGTAACTGAGGCAGGTGGGGCATGGCTGGAGGAGGGAGATCTTTGGGGGCATGCTCTTGAAGGGTGCATCTTCTTTGTGCTTCATTGTGGTTCGTTCTCTCTCTCTTTTTCTCTCTCCCCCATCAGCAGAGCAGCTTTCCTCCACCACAATTTCCCCATGATGTGCTTCTTTACCTTGGGCCCAGAGTGATGGACTGGCCATATATGGATTGAGGCCTCTGAAACTGTGAGCCAAAAATAAACTTTCCCTCCTTTAAGTTGTTCTTGTCAGGTATTTTGGTCATAGTGTTGCAAAACGGACTAAATCACTTTGGTTGGAATATTCCATAAAAGATGTTCTCCCTAGGAGATTTTGACAGTAAGGATCCTCAAGGATTATGTGTTTCCTTGCTGAGAGTATTTTTGCATGCTATTAAATATCTCAAGGATGCATGAAAGTATGAATCTTCATTGAAGGCCTTTGCCTTTACCTTGAGTTTTGATCTGTTTCTGTCTGCCTTAATTAAAGGACCTAATTTTCTTTGTGGTCTCAATAAGTTAGTCAGAAAGCTTCTAAGCTCGGCATGGTGACAGATACCTGTAATCCCAGCAATTTAGGAGGCTAAGGCAGGAGGATTGCAAGTTCATAGGCCAGACTCAGCAACTTAGCAAGATCCTGTCAGAAAATAAAAATAAATAAAAAGGACTCACTAGGAATGTAGCACAGTGGTAGAGTGACCCTGGGTTTAGTCCCCAGTACCATATGCACTACACAAACAAAAAAAAGGAGAAGGAAAAGGAGGTAAAAGGAGGAGGGAAAGAAGATGAAGAGGAGGAAGAGCTTCTAACAAAGGCTGAGGCAGTGTGTATGGGTTTGGAGCACTACATAGTAGCACAGTTTCAAGCACAGTAACTGTTCAGTGTGATGTTGTCATGAGGGTTCTTCTATTTTCTCTACTTTCCATCTCCCAGTCTTTCCTCTTCCTCTTTGTTTAGAACAGTTACTTTATTGTGAACTAGACGAAAGGCAGTTTTTTTTTTTTTAATAAAGACAGAATATTTTGCTTTTCCAAATGGTCCCCAGGAAGGAAGCCATGATCCCCCTAACTAACTTAACATGGTGGGAAGATGGGAAAATTGTATCCTGAGATATTGAGGAAAGCACAACATTTTAGAGTGGGGAATTGGGAATAAGAATTAAGAGTATGCATCTGTGGGAAAGAGATAGAACACTAGTGTATTAGTCATCTGTGTGTCACTGTGACCAAAATATCTGACAAGAAAAACTTAGAAGAGGAAAAGTTTACTTTGGCTCATGTTTCATAGGTTTAGTCCATGGTGGGCCAACTCTATTGTTCTGGGCTCAAGGTGAGGCAGAACATCATGGCAGAAGGGTGTGGTGGAAGAGATCTTAAATATTCTTTTGAGACAGGGTCTTAATAAGTTGCCAAGGCTGGCCTCCAACTCTCTATCCTCCTGCTTCAGTCTCCCAAGTAGCTGGGATTAGAGGCATGTACCACCCAGCTCTAAAGATTTTTACTGCTCTAATAAAATAATGTATGGGTCTTAACATCATAATTGGAAATTTGAGATTTTAGGCTCAGCACCCTTTCCAGAAGTGTTCAGAAGCTTCCTGTTGAATTGCTGTCTTGTTCACAACAGGGACTGGGATGACCAGGTGAGGGAGAGGGGTGAGGTTTAGAGAGAGATTGATAAAGAATCACCAGTGATGAGAACAGGACCAAAGTCAGAGCAGGGCAGGGCTGAATGTGTTTTTTTGATACCATGAAATGTAGGGGTGGAGTAAAGTTAATGTTATTACTAAGCATTTTCTCTGGCCATGGCGGCAATTTATATAGTGTGTAAATCTCATAAGATTGTAACCCTCTCCACCACTGTGACAAATGTAATATGCTTCATGTTGACCTCATGTAAGATGTTATCAGATTGATATTGTTCCTACTTGAGGCCTCATGCCTTGAAGCTGGAATAGTGAGGCGTCCTAGATGATTTCCCCTAGGCTAAAAATACTTTTTTTTTTTTTTTGGTATCAGGGATTGAATTCAGCAGCACTCAACCACTGGGCTACATCCCCAGATGTATTTTGTATTTTATTTAGAGACAGGGTCTCTCTGAGTTGCTTAGCACCTTGCTTTTGCTGAGCTGGTTTTGAACTTGCAATCCTCCTGTCTCAGCTTCCTGAGCTGCTGGGATTACAGGTGTGTGCCACTGTGCCCAGCATTAAAAATGCTTTCTAATAGAAAACTTCACCTAATCTTTAATCTAGCTCCCCTTCTTCTAAACTTCACATGGATTGCTAATCTCCATTTTAATAAGATAATATTATACAAAACATCACATTTAAAACAGCACAGTGACTGGTGCATACCTGTATTTGTGCCAGTTGTAGGCAAATAAAACCGGCTGAAGATTTCTCTTCAGTGCTAGGGTCACTGTGAAACAACTCTGGCAGGGATTTCGGTGGTGAGTAATCTGCTATTGAATGGAAGGATTGATGACCTCCAGTGTCTTGTAGTCTTATTTCAAATATCAGGTTCAAGCTCCTTATTGCAGGGTCCCATGAGGCTGCTGCAAGGGATGAATAAGTTCAGTTTTTTAAATTTCTATTTTTACATCATATACATACTTTAACAATTATGCTTTTTTCCTCCCATAAAAGAAACAAGAACGTATTTCAATTGGCTTTTACATGAAAGGGAGAGATCAGCACTGGGGAAATAAGGATTCCTGGCCCCTAAGTCTAAGTAAGTGCAAAAGGAAACCTGGAAGATGTGAATTGACTCTGCGCAGTAGCCACACCTCCTTGTAGCAAAGGTAGCATGGGAATATGGCAAAAAGACACCTGGACAGAGAATCAGCAGAACACTTAAGTTAGGTAAAATGCAATGGCAAATGCAAAGCAAAGGTGAAATGGCATCCCAAGCATGACAATGAGAACAAAGTCTGTAGTCAGTGCCAAGGGTGGGACAGGGAATGTGGAAGGAGTTTTATAACACAAAATCACTGATTTTTTAGAACTCTTTTACAAATCACTATCTAGATGCAGCACTCCTTTCAGAAGCATTTAACTTCATTTTGAATCACTATGTCGACGTATACGATTTTGCAATGTCAAAATCACCACCCTGCCTTAAGAGTTGCAATTTATCTAATATTTCAAAAATGGTTGAAACAACTATCTTGATAGATATTATCAGAAAAACCAGTTAGGCCAGGCATGATGGGGTATGCCTATAATTCCAGCTACTTGGGAGGCTGAGGCAGGATGATTGCAAGTTTGAGGCCAGCTTCAGCAACTTAGGGATACCCTATCTCAAAATAAAATTTTAAAAAAGGGCCAAAGAAGCCAGGTATGGTGGCGCATACCTGTAATCCCAGCGGCTCAGAGGCTGAGACAGGAAAATGGTGAGTTCAAAGCCAGCCTCAGCAATGGCAAGGCACTAAGCAACTCAGCAAGACCCTGTCTCTAAATAAAATACAAAATAGGGCTGGAGATGTGGCTTAGTGGAAGAGTGCCCCTGGGTTCAATCCCTGGTTACCACCCCCCTCAAATAAAAGGGCTGAGGATATAGCTCAGTAGTAAAGTACCCTTGGGTTCAGTCTCTAGTACCAAAAAAAAAAAAAAAAAGAAAGAAAGAAAAAAAAGGAAAAAGAAAACCTATTAGCAAGTTTATTAGCAATAAAAGACTTAACATCTCTTTCTTCCCAGGAGCTCACCAATAGCAAGATCAGTGAAAATGTTGTTTGTTTTAAAGCTTTTTTAGGCAGTAATGGGGATGGAACTGAGGGTCTCACACATACTAAGCAAGTACTGTATAGTACCACTGAGCTACATCCCCAACCCTTTAAGCATTTTTTTCAGCCTTCAATCTAACTTTCAGGCACTTTTTGTGGGGTACTGGGGATTGAACCCAGGGGCACTTTACCATTGACCTACATCCCAAGCCCTTTTTATTTCTTATTTTAAGACTGGGTTTTGCCAAGTTGTTGAATCTGGCCATGAATTTAAGATCCTTCTGCCTTAGCCTCATCAGTTGCTGGGGTTATAGGTGTGCATAAGATGTTTGTGTCTCTTCATGCATACACCAAAAGAAAAAAAAAAAGCCATGTGAGGAAGAAGATACCCAGCAAGCACCAAGAACACAATTATGTCAAGCCTTTCATCCTCCAGAACCATAAGAAATGAATATTTGTTGGTTAAGCCATTGAGTTGATGGTATTTTTATAACAACACAAAGTGATTAAAAAAATACACCTTCAAGAGCATATTCAGGTTCCTTTCAGTAGAGATTCTTATACATTTGCTAGAATTATTGGTTTAGTTTATTCTGACTCTGCTTAGTTAAACATTATAACATTCTTGTATTGTAGATTTTAATTTTGGAAATTGCTTTTTCTCATTTTGCTCATCATGATCTTATTCAAAATTACAATATTCCCTTCAAGTTACTTCCACCTATAAAGTTGTTTGCAGCTCAAGATCACACTTTGATTGATTGGGTGATCCAAGGTCGACGTATTTAGAGGAAAGAAAATATCTGTGTGTGTGTGGTTTTCTGGGGACCAAACCAAGGATATTGCACATGTTAAAGGTGTTCTATCACTGAGCTATATCACCAAGCCCAGAAAATGCCTTTTATTTGATCATCCTCACTGGCTAGTGATTTAGTCAAAGGGTTGTGTGGGAATTATCCAGAATAAAAGTGTCCTAACTTCCTCTTTACTGAGTAATGAAACATTGTAATGAAAATGCATGTTGTGGGGCTGGTTGAGGCTCAGCGATAGAGTGCTTGCCTCACACGTGTCAGACCCTGGGTTCTATCCTCAGCACCACATAAAAATAAACAAGTGAAATAAAGGTGTTGTGTCCAACTACAACTAAAACATAAAATATAAAAAAAAAGAAAATGCATGATGTAGGAACATAGTTTTTGTTGTATTTAATATAGATAGTTTCACTCAGTTGTATGTGATATTTATGCAAGGGCCATATTGATCTTTTGTGTATCATTCCAATTTTTGTAAATGTGCTGCTGAAGCAAGCACAAGAACATAGTTTTGAAAGACCCATTCTAAAAAATGATTTTCTTGTGAGCCCTACTTCTTTATTAACTTTATATTTCACAGATGACAGTGTTCACTTGCACACTTTTGGGCAACATTTTTTTTTTTTTGTACTGGAGTTTGAACCTAGGGTCATGTAACCACTGAGCCATATCCCCAGCCCTTTTAATTTCTTAAATTTTGAGACAGGGTCTCACTAAGTTGCTTGGGGCCACCCTCAATGGCTGAGGCTGGCTTTAAGCTCTGGATCCTCTTGCCTCAGCCTCTGGAGCCACTAGGATTAGAGGAGAGTGCCACCACACCTGGCAGGCAGCTTCTTTTTTCAAAGGACCATTGATTTTAAGTTACTTAGAGTCTCATCTTCATTTGCATGTAAAAAGCCAAAGAGGTGCTCTTTGTTTCTTTTTCTCCTGGGCTGGTATCTTTTGTCTGTCTGAGTAGTTTCTCACAATGACTTCCTAAAGATGTCAGTTTCATCCCCTTTTGTACTACTGACTTAACACAGATTCTCCTTTTTGATTCACAGGGACCATTTCTGGGCAAATGGCTCAACACTTGGTAAACACTGAGAATTTAGAGAATACTGATGATCTGATATAATCAGGTTCTTAGGAAGAGGACTCAGTAAATATTTATAGAATACCTCTCTTACCCAGAGGACTCTGCTAAGCACTGCTAGAGATAACAGTTTACGGAGAGATACTAGATGAAAATAAGACCCCTGTCCTTCAGGGAAGCATAACAAGTAGAAAATGCATAGGATATGGCAACAGGTGACCTAAACTCCTGTCTTAAATCTGCCACTAGTAATCCCTGCAATCCTTAGGAAGTAATGTCATACTTTTCATTTTCTTTCTTCCTTCTTTTGTCTTTTTTTTTGTGGCACTGGGGATTAAAACCAGAGCCTCATGCAAAAAGTCTACCACTGAGCTACAACCCAAGCTTCTTAATTTCTTTATATGTAAAAGAGAAATGTAAATAAAACCTACTTCAAAAGGTTAAAATGTACCTAATAAGAATAAAGCAAGATAATTGTGGGTAAGGACTTGCTAACAAACCAGAAAACTGTTTTAAAAATGTAAGGAAATGTTGTTCCGGATCTAGTGAGGGGCCCTACAAGGACCAAACTGCTTTACTCTTGGAGGCGGCTGACAAGTTTAGTGAGGACAGCTCTAACTCTCCGGGACTCAGGAAGGCCCACGGCAAGGTGCTTGTAGCAGAGTGTACAGGTGTCCCCGCCTATGTGAGCTTTACGTGGTCCCTTGTAGAAAGGGCTACCTGTCGCTGGGAAGCCAGCAGAAACAACGTGGATTCGCAACACTGCAAATTGGGGACAGGAAACCTTGGCACCAGAAGTCAGTAGGCTACTTCGCTTCAAGGTGACTGACGGTTTGCGGGGCTATCGTAGACTTGCAGTAGACCTGGAGACTCGGTGGCATTAATCCCAGTGCAAAATTGGAGCTGGAAGCAGGATCCTTCGGGATGGCAAGGACTCGCGAGACAGTTCCTGAGTTGGCTAGGAAGACACTTCACAGGTAGAGGTGGGAAGATGACTGGGCGTGGCTGTCAACGCAGCTACCGGAAGCGCATATTTCCTTTTCCGGTTGGGGTTCGGACCACAGACCCGAGACCCAAGAAATAGGAAGTTGGGGTGCGGTGTTGGGGAGGTGGAGAGACCGGGTGGGTGTCTGCTTTTTCAAGGCCCCTGCTCCCCAGAGGCCTTGGAGCTTCTCTCGCCAGGCGTTTTCTTTACCTGGCCTCCCCGAGTGGCGCGCGAGTGGAGTTCCGCTCTATAGAGCGGCTGGGAGGCGTGGAGACTTTATAGTGGAACTGAGGAAAAGGAAAGTGGCCGCCACCCAAGCCCAGAGTTGACTGGAGGTAACGGAGAAACTAATCTACCCTTTGGATTCGGTTGGCGAGCCCCCGAGAGACAGCGGTCGCTCCTGCCTTTTGCAGCCGTTGGGGTTGCTGCATGGCGGCGAGTGGGGGCGGGGATGGGACTCGGCGTCATTCAGTACGCGGTGGCTTCGTTGCCAGGCGGCAGATCCGCGGGAGAGCGGGCGGGACTTGTCATCTGCACGGCCACTTTTAATCTCCAGAAGCAACCTCTTTATACCCAATGTACAAATATAACCCAGAGATGCTGGTGAAACACACTCAGACTACTCACATGCAGAGTGCCTACCGGCATCCCTGTGGCCTATCCAGAAGGTGCAGCAAATTGGTGGTGGGGACTGGGACAGTTGTGTCCACCACTGTACCTAGCGAAATTTCCCGATTTCCACTAGCTTATGAACATAACGCTAGAGAAGGGGCCATTTCAGCCCTAAAGACACTGGATTCTGTTGACACAAAAATCTAGGAAGTGTCCCTGTACCTCCCGAGCCTGCCTGGACAGCAAGGAACCAACCATTTCTTTGAATACCCATGACATTCTGAAAAGAATTTTTTCACTGTCACTGCTGATCAGATTGTCAATTCTATCCTCAGACTTGAGGATAGGGAAAGTCATTTCCTGAGGAACTGCAAAGTCAGGAGAAAGGTTACTCTTACTCAGATCCTCCCTGTCTATAAGAACCTTAATGCGTTCATCCTTCCTTCCCTCCCTTCCTTCCAGGTCTCCCTTCGTTCCCCCTCTTTCTCTCCCTTCCATCCTCCCTCCCTCTCTCTCTTCCTACCCCCCTTTCTGTCTCTTTCTGTCTTCTACCTGGCATTTGGATATATTGTAAACAAAGGCCAGATGTAAGTTTTTTTTTCCAGTTAAAGTAAGCACAAGAAATAAAAGACAGTACAAATCTCCACATGCCCTTTGTAAATCTTCCAAAGAAGTGCAGCTGTCCCCAAATTTAATCTGGTTGCTTAGTGGGAGAACATTTGCTGAGCAGAATAAGGTTACTTTTTTCCTAATCATACCTCCAATCTCTGTTTTTCTTTCAGTATTAATACAGTGGAATGAGAATAGCAAATGGTCCATGAAGTAAAGGCTTCAGTCTTCACAAAAAGATGAAGCAGCATAGAAGTTATTTTTGTACTGACTAGAGCCAAAAGTCTGGGATGATCTGTTAAAATTTGGAAAAGCTCAAATATGCTCTAATTGAGAAGGTGTAACAGGAAGCACACAGATTAAGTATTGGATAATTTCAAAGCTGCTTTTGGCCCAAGGGTGCCTGTTTTCTTACCCACCAACCTTTCTCAAATGGAAAGAAAAAATTAAAAAGAACAACCAAAAAGCAGGAATGGGGGAGGAAGACATTGACATTTTTCTTCTATGAACTGTGCTTAGTTTCAAAGTTGAGTAACAAAGAAAAAAAAACATACCTCTTAAAGTAACCTGTGATCATGAATGTTCTAATACTTGGCAGTTGATTTTAAAGGAGAAGGAGGGTAGGGACTTTTCATTTTTCTCTGATAATAATTAGCGAATATGTGTCATGTGGCTTTCCTTTTGACATGTACTTTTTTTCTGCTCTCCCTCAAGTGCTCTTAGGAAGAAGATCTGTACATTGGTTTTGTACCAAGCCTGATGGGGCCTCAGTTGTCAGAGATGGCACCAGGGAACTGTTAGTGCCACACACAGGAATAAAACTGTTTCTAGAGCAAATGATGATGAGTGAGCTGAACATAGATGCGTGCTTGAACCCCCACATGGGGGCTATGTTCTGGGAGACTGAAGAAGCTGTGCAAGAAGGCTCCAGTCAGAGGGAGAAATACAGCCCACAAATAGAAAGCCTTCATCCTGAGAGTGCCCGCCAGCACTTCAGGAGCTTTTGTTATCTTGAAGCACCTGGGCCACTAGAAGCTGTTAACCAACTTCAGAAATTATGCAATCAGTGGCTGAGGCCAGAGACCCACTCAAAAGAGCAGATCCTGGAACTGCTGGTGCTAGAACAGTTCCTGACCATTCTTCCCAGGGACATCGAGAACTGGGTGCAGAAGCATCATCCACAGAATGTTAGACAGGCTGTGGTCCTGGTAGAACGCTTTCAGAGAGAACCTGGTGGAACAAAGAATGAGGTGAGAAGAAAGATTCCTTATATGTGCATTAAAATAGGATAAAGGTGGATATGTGTGGGTGGGCGTTATCAGGGAATGAGATGGATGAAGTCACACTTCTCTTGTGTGGAACTGAAGTCACAGTCATGCAGCAATAGTCAGTCAATAGGTTACAGAGTTCCTGGCAGAGTCTTTTCTGGCCTTAGAGGGAAAAATGCACTTTTCCTTCTTTAGGGCCAGGATGAATTGGGGGATGGTGAGCCTAGTTTGGCATGGCCAAGGAGATAAGACTCAAGTGCTTAGAAATCAAAATAAAAGACAAGAAATAGTTGGGAAAGGGGAAACATTCCAAAAAGTGGATAGCACTTATAGAAATCAAAGGAGAGAAAGGGTAGCAAACAAAAATCAAAATCAAGTAACTCTGGGGAGATATCAAATTGAGGGAAGAAATGGAAAGCAAAAAAGGAAACAAAAATGGAAAGAAGAAAATGCCAATAGAGAAGTGGAGGGAATTGGGATGATGAGGGGGCAGTGTCTTCTACTGGGAACACATACCTCTGTGCTGGGAAAAAGAATCCTCTCTTAGTGGGACCACGTGTGTTTGACCTGCTTGAGAGTGGAGAACCAAGATATGTCTTTGGGAGATGACAGCACACTTCCTATACATAGCAATGTACCTTGAGGGATATAGGTAGGGCAGAGTGTATTTTTGGTATCTTACTGCAACCAAATCATGTGGAGGGAGGTTGGAGCCAATCTCTTCCCTCGTTTTCCCTATCATCTGATCTCCTTTCACCATGAAATCCTTCCTTGTCTATAGGAAGATTGAAAGATCTGGCTGACAAGATAAATACTTGTTAATTCAACTCTTTATCTTTGGGAAAAAAATTTGAAGATTGAAATCCACTAAGGCAGGGATCCAAGTCAAAAAAGCAAGCTAATGAAGGCAGTGTGAGAACAGCCACCCCACCTAACCCCGCTAATGGCTTGAACTGTGTCTGGGTACACAGGGTAGGGACTCTTGGCATGAAGGAGGGGAAACTGGAAGTAGGTACAGCTTTTTTCATTTTATCTTAATTTTCTTAGATTCTGTGTATACTTCTTCATAAGAGCATAGCAACACATTTTCTCTTCATCCTCTGTATTACTTCCTTTAAAATCACACACTCCCCAAATCTGTGCTCTCTCTATTCTAGTGCCTCCCTCCTCCTGTACCACCAAACTCAAAGTGAGTTCTGTGCTAATAAGGATGGGGATTATTTCTAGGTCACAGCCCATGAGCTGGGAAAGGAGACAGTGCTCTTGGGAGGAACAGCAGTGGCCCCAGGCTTCAGGTGGAAGCCAGCAGAGCCCCAAGCAATGGGTGTGTTCCAGAAAGAATGTTGCAATATATACCAGGTACTTCAAGAACTGCTGGGCTGGCATACTCACAAAGAAACCCAGCCTGTATATAAAAGAGGTGAGGTGCTTCAAAATAATTATTTTCTTCTGGGAGCTGTGATAGTAATTGGTTTAGCTAGAATTTGTGAGAATTTTCCAGGTGCCCAGCTGTGCCTTGCCAGTTATGATGTTTCCCAGGTGGGAGTGCAAAAGGTGGGTGAAGGTGGGAATTGGCCTGAGGTGCAGAAATTTCCAAACCACAGAGCTCTCATATTCACACCACAGTCTATACTCTTTAGAAATCTGAGAAGAAAGAAGATGATGAAACAGGGACAAGTGGGACCATTATACCCTTATAAGTTGCAGGAGAAATTGGGATCTAAAATGGGCTCTCAAGGGTTAGAATGTGAAGAAAATGACACACCAAGAAAGAAATAAAAATCTCCAACGTTTCCTACTGTACACCAGGGGACCTGAGTACTTTGTATTCAAATGCCTCTAATTCTTGCTCAGTTAGGTGAACAATTTGTTTTATAAGATTTAATCTAGGGCTGGGGTTGTGGCTTAGCAGTAGAGTACTTGCCTAGCATGTGTGAGGTGCTGGGTTCCATCCTCAGCACCACATAAAAATAAATAAAAAATAAAGGTATTGTGTCCAACTACAACTAAAAAATATTTTAAAAGATTTAATCTACTTACTAGATTGCCTTTTATTAATTTATCCCATGAAATCTGGAGAAATAGTGATCTGAGGAACTGGTTCTATGAAGGGTGGATATCTGATTGCTATTTCCCATGAGATGACAACTCTGGACATCACAATGCTTCTCACAGTGATCCATCTTTCTTGAAAGTGTCCCAACATTCTGTATTTTAGAATCAGCTCATGATGTTTGTAAGCAGGAAAGAGAGAAATTTTCTCTGGCTCTTTTCCACCCACAGCTGTGCATACTCCACAGATTTTAGCCCTTTCTGAGCAGAAAAGCATCAAAGACTGGAAGATGGCATCAGAGCTCATCTGGCCTGAGTCCCAGGTGAGCTGTACTTTCCAGCTTTCTCAGGCAGACTCATCTCACTTTTTCCTGCTGCCTACAACCCATTAACCTAAGGTATTCCCAGCAGGTATTCTGCAGTGTGTTAGCCCCAAATGTTCTCCAGGTAACTGGGCTTGGCACAATGGGAATGGGAATTGGGTATCTCCCAGGCTGTTTACGGATCTGCTTGGCTCCTTCCTTTCTGCCATCTCACTCCCACCACCCCCTAAATCTTGTACTGCTAACTTCTTCAGCACCTGCCCTACCATGTAATTCAGAGGTGGGTAGTAGGACAGCTTCTCCAGTGGCAAGTATTCAACCAAAACCTCTTCTCTTCTTTAGAGTTTGTTGACATTTGAAGATGTGGCTGTGTATTTTTCCGAGGAAGAATGGCAATTATTGGACCCTTCTCAGAAGACCCTCTACAATGATGTCATGCAGGATAACTATGAGACTGTCATCTCTCTAGGTAAAGATTTTTTTCCCTTTGTACACAAGTTGAAAAATATGTCCTCAGTTTTTGGAAACTGCATCCCTGTGAGAGAGCCCCTGTGTTCCAGCACCTTATTGTTTGAATTTGATGGTGTGGGAGAAAGGCACTTCCGTATTCTCTTTTTGTTCTTTAGTTGTAGATGGACACAGTAAGTTTACTTTATTTTTGTGTGGTGCTGAGGATAGAACCCAGTGCCTCATGTGTGCCATTGAGCACTCTACCACTGAACCACAACCCCCAGCCCAAGGCACTTCCATATTCTAAGTAGAATTATCGATCTGTTGATAATGCCCTTACCCCATAAACCATATCATTCCCTTCTTAGTAATGGGCATCACTATTTATTCAACTGCTCAGGCCAGAAACCTCTCGGTCACACTTTTTTAAAAGTTTTTTTTATAGTTATAGATGAATAGAATGCCTTTATTTTATTTGTTTATTTTTTATGTGGTGCTGACAATCGAACCCAGTGCCTCATGCATGCTAGGCAAGCACTCTGCCACTGAGCCACAACCCCAGTCCCTCTTAGTCATTCTTTATTCTAGTCTTTCTGTTATATTCTACAGCCAATCAAGCAGCAAGTCCTCTTTGCTCTGTCTTCAAATGTATCCTGAATCCAACCATGTCTCACACTCTTCCACTCTTACCACCCTAGTTGGAGCCACTGTCACCTCTAACCAAGTCTACCTTCAATAACACTAGATTCCTATTCCCCGCATCATTTGCCTCTGTCTCCCTTAGGTTAAGTTCCTAGTTTCCTCATTGCATTTCTACCCACATCCATAGTAGAATGTAAAGATGATATTGGATCCAAAATTCTGCCCACTTAAACATTTGAAATAAAAAAGTTATAAAAAAAAGAGTTATTCACTCTTCCTGAAAATAGTCAGGAATTAAGGTGGCAGTTCATGACCTCAAGGTTTTATTCTCAGAATATTGTTGTGTTTTAAAGTGATCTATTTAAAGCAAGAAGAACCATAGATCCAAATTCTCCAAGAGTACAAGGAAAGTCTTGAAGCATTTCCTACAGGTAAGTATATTCATCAGAAGAAGAGAAATATTCTTTGGTAGGAACTTTATAGGGGTTTAATATCTTAAGATTCTGCTCTTATATTTTTCATTGAAATTTTTATTGTAGTCATTTTAAATTCACATGCAGGTTTAAAATATAATATAAAAGAGAATCTGTGTACACATTACTCAGTGTCTGCAATGATAACTTTTGCAAAAGTATATCACAATCAGACTATTGCTATTGATGTGACCTACTGATCTTAAGCAGATTTCCCAAATTTTACTCGAATTGTTGTATGTGTCTATTATTTCTGTACAGTTTTATCACGTGTAGATTTATGTATTCACCACTAGAGTCTTGACTATACTGGATAGTTCCCTTACCATAAACATCCCTCCTGTTGCCCTTGCATAATCACATATACTTCCATCCCATTCCCCACTAATCCATTCCAACTGTTAATCTGCAAACATTCCTAACATTTTGGCCATTTGAAAAATCTTATATGAATGGAATCATCATGAAGTATGTGGTTTTGGGGGATTAGATTTTTTCATTTACAATAATTCCCTAGAAATTTGTCTAAGTTATTAACATGTCTCAATGGCTCATTTCTCTTTAACCACTGAGTAGCATTCCACACAACTATCTTATATAGGTTTTTCTGCAGAGTGTTCATTTATCTAGGACACATGCTTCAAGGGTAGAATCACTGTTTCATATGATAATTGCATGTTTAAATTTATAAGAAACTGCCAAACTGTTTTCCTCAGTGTCTGTACCATTTTACATTTCTACCAACAATATATGAGTAATCCAGTTTCTCTCTACATCCTTGCCAGTGTTTAGTCTCAATATTTTTTTAAAATTTTAGTCATTCTGATATATGTAGTGGTATCTCACAGTGGTTTTGATTTGTGTTTCCCTAATGGCTGATGATGTTTGTTTGATATCTTCTCATGTGCTTATTTGTCATCTCTTTATGTACTCTTCAGTGCAATGTCTTTTGGCCATATTTTAGATGGGTTGTTTATTAACTGTTGACTTTGGGGAGTTCTTTATGTAGTGTAGATTCTAAAGTTTGTCAGATCAATGATTTGCAATTATTTTATCTCAATCTATATATTGTCTTTATCCTCTCCCATGGGTTTCCACTCAGTAAAATTTTTAATTTTGATGAGGACCAATTTTTCCTATTATAGATTGTTTTTGGTATCAAGTCTAGAATTCTGACTAGCTTATCCCTAGATCCCCATGATTTCCTCCTAAAACTTTAATAATGTTATATTTTACATTTAACTCCATGATCTATTTTTGAGTTAGTTCTTCTTGTTTTTTTTTTTTTTTTTTTTGGTACTGGGGATTGAACCCAGAGGTGCTTAACCACTGAGCCACATCACCAGCCCTTTTATATTTTATTTAGAGACAGGGTCTCTCTGAGTTACTTAGGGCCTCATTAAGTTGCTAAGGCTGGCTGTGAACTCTCGATCCTCCTGCCTCAGCCTCCCTAGACACTGGGATTACAGATGTGTGCACCACCACATCTGGCCTTGAGTTAGTTTTGTATGAAGTGTGAGCTTTAGGTTGAGGCTCATTTTAATTTTTCTTCTTGCCAATGGAGGTCTAATTACTTCAGCATCATTTGTCGAAAATGCTGTCCTTCCTCCATTGAATTGCCTGGCATGTTTATGTTCATTTTGTTCCACTGAGCTCTGTATCTGTCCTTCTGCAAATATTGCACTCTCTTGATTACTGTAGCTGTATTGTAAGCCTTAATATCTATCCAGCAAAGTGATTTGTCCTACTTACTTCTTCATCAAGATTCTCTTACCTATTGTAGGACCTTTGCCTTTACATGCAAATTACAGAGTAAGTTGAACTGTGTCTGAAGTAAATTGTGTTTTGCCAGAAATTACATTAAATGTAATATTAGTTTGAAAGGGATTGTCATGTTTATTGTGTTGATTCTCCCAATCCATGAACACAGTATATCTCTATTTATTTAAGTCTTTGATTTCTTTCCTCACTTTTTTATAATTTTCAGTGTATAGATATTCTACATGTTAAGTGCATGCATAAGTTTTTCATTTTCATGGAACAATTCCTTTTATTTTCTTGCTTATTGCATTAGCTTTAACTTCTGGTACTATGTTGAATTAGAGTGGCAAGAGAAACATCTTTGACTTGTTTCCAATTTAGCATGAAAACATTCAGTCTTTCACCGTTACCTAAGATATTAGCACTGTTTTTTTGTTGTTGATATTCTTTATCAAGTTGATATAATTCCTAATTTTACCACTGTTTTCATCATGAATGGATGTGGCATTTTGTCAGATGCTTTTTCTGTGTCAGTTGATAGGTACATATGATCTTTCTTCTTTAGTTTGTTGAAATGGTGGATTATGTGGATTGATTTTCATATGTTGAACCAGATTTGCATACCTGCAATAAATCCGGCTTTGTCATGGTATATAAATCTCATAACTTAACTGCAATCTCATTGACTTACTGCATTCAGTTAGTCAATATTTGCTGACAATTTTTGTGTTTAAGTTCATGGGAAATGCGACTCTATAGTTTCCTTTTTTACTACTGTCTTTGTATGTTTATAGTATCAATGTGATACTCGTCTTATAAAATGAGTTGGGTAGTATTTCCTCCTCTTTTTTGGAAGAGATCACATAAAATAGTTAATTCTTTGAGTGTTTGGTAGAATCCTCCAGTGACACCATTTGTACTTGGAGATTTTTTGAGGGGAGGACTTTTAAATTGTGAGCTCCATTTTTCTTTAATGGTCAGCGTACCATTCGGGATCTATTTCATATTGTTTGAATCCTGGTATTTGTACTTTTTTAGGAAATAGTCCATTATAACTAACTTAAAATTCATGAATGTAAAATTCATAGAATTCCCTTACCTTCTTATTTACAGAGTATGTAGTAATACACTATTTCATTCAAGATATTGGTGATTTGTGTCTTCTCTTTCTTTTTGTCAGTCTTGATAGAGGTTTACCAGCTATTTTTTTTTTTTTTTAAGAATGGGCTTGCTTTTTGTTTTATTTTGGTTTCTGTCCTTTATTATTTTCCCTTTCAGCCTGCTTTGAGTTTATCTTACTTTTAGTTCTTTGAGGTAGGAACTTAGATTATTGATTTGAGATACTTTTTTTTGTACCCAGGAGTACTTTACCACTGAGTTACAATCCCAACCTTTTTTATTCTGAGACAGGGTCTTACTAAGTTGCCCAGACTGGCCTCAAATTTGCAGTCTTCCTGCCTCATCCTTTCGAGTCACTGGGATCACAGGCATGTACCACTGTGCTTGGCCACCTTTCCTTTTTTCTATTATGAGCACTTATGGATACAACTTTCTTCTGATCATTTCTTTAACTAAAATTAATATATTTTGATATATTTTAATTTCATTTTTATTTAACTTTCAGTATTCAAAAATTTCCTTTGAGACTTTCTCTTTGGACCATGGATTGTTTAGAAGTGTATTTCATTTCCATATGTTTTAAATTTTCCTATTGCTTTTCTAGTTTGATGACATTTTTGTCATGTTTCCCTTTCTTATAGGTTGTGATTTTTTTTGTTCTTGGCCTGATGTGTGATTATTTATTGTATACAGATAATTTTGTGTATTAGGATAGAAGAGTCTGGTTCCTATTTAAATATTTTATTTTAGCAGGCAGTCACTGGGTTTTACTTTAGCACACAGGTTCTTTCTTACTTTTATGAGGTATTTCCACCATGTGACCAGTGCACTGTTTTTATTAATGAGGTTCTTGGCATAAAAGTTAGCTAGCGAGATCGAAATAAAACACACAGACTCAGTTACCTTTTTCTATGACCAGGTCCGAGATGGCTCCCCTCTCTGGTTCCCACCTCGAACCACCCGGTAGGGCAGCAAGGATTACTCAGGGCTAGCAGGAGAGAGAGAGATGGAGCACGCCAGGGAGTAGCCTTTTATTGGGGAACAAGAAATTCAGGGGAGAATTCCATCCAATGAAGGTTGAGGGGGGCTGCACTCCAAGGTCAGGGTCAGTGATTGGCCCCCAGGGTCAGTGGTCAGTCACACCCCCACACGGACGGGCTCTCTCATCAGGAGAGGGCCAGGAAAGCTCCGACACAGATTAGCCAGAGCGCCTCAGACCCAAACCGGGAGTTGCCCAGTCACGTGTGAGAATGGCTTCCCACATATTCTCCCTTTCTTTTCTTAAAAATGAGGCGGCGGTTCACTCTTTGGAGTTTCTGTATTCTTGTTCCGAAGACTTGCCATCCTATAATTACAACACAAAAGAGAATTAACAGCAAGGAGAATAATCCAATAATGTACCAGGCTGAGTGTTTAAGAATATTACCAGGGTTGAATCCATTCAACTCCTTCAATATTTCGTTAGCCAAAGAAGAAGGATCTGAAAAATCAGCTCTATTATTTTGAATGTCTTGGATATGGTGATGAAGTTCCAGAATATCCAAGCTATTATTACTATTTTGCCAAATACCTAACAAATGGTTTTTAACCTTCTCGCAATCCCAGAGAGAAGCATTGTACTTGTCAGCTGTAACACACACATATTTATAATTTGCATGGCATTTAAGCCTTTCTTTAAATTTTAAGGCTGAAAGTTCATTACCTATGTCTATAACAGTCGCCTCTAAGGCATTTAATTTAGTCTCAATCCTTTCATCAATATTTACTTGATTACGCAGAGCCTTGGAAGCATTTTGAGCTAAATTATTAAGAAATTTTGCATGCTGAATATTCTGAGACAATGTCAGAGACGCAGACACAGTGGAGGCAATAAAAGAGACTAGCGCCAAAACACCAACGATTATAACTCCAATAGCACGTTTAGGTCTTGCTAGCTGGGCATGAATTTGCTGCAAGACTTGTAAACCAGTATCAGCATACCATGGCTCTGAAATATTAGCAGGTAATAAAACGAAAGAGGGCTGATGAAGTATCAGCACTCCTTTTCCTCCATTATACCTAGTAATACAATTGGTTAGGTTATATTTATTACAAGTAACAATATATCGGTCATCTATCCATTTAACTTCTACATTCCCAATAATTAAAACATAAGGAGATTGGACACAGGCTCGTAAGCCATAGCAAGATCCCTCTTTACAGTTCTTGCCAACAAATTTTGGTAAAGGCTTGTCTGTAAAATGTAAGAATTCTGAGGCAGCAATTAAACGCCAAACATCCTTTTGAACACCACCTTCACTATAAGTCAAAATATTACTAACAAATCCTGCAGGTGTCATAGCAGAATTTCTTTGTAATTGTCTCTTATCAATTTTTGGAGACCAGTCTAAAATATACCCACTATCTTTAGACACCTTATGTTGTACAGGAAAGGTATTTACACAATCCATCCATCTAGGAAAGGTGCCAATCTCAATTGTAGAACTATTTAGACAGTGGGGTATCCGTGGGGGTTTTGCAGAAATGACTGGCTTGTTATGGGAAAGTCCCATCTTAATTACTGATCTAGTATAAGGTTTTAAGTCCCCATAAATAGAATTATTTGTCAGTCTAGGTCTACCAGTCGCTGTCTTTTCTTCGAATGATACTTTCAGACAGCCAGCATGTTTATCATGGGACCAACACAAAGGTAATTGGGCACTGTAGCCAGAATAATTAAATCTAGTCACATGATTGGGAGTAATATGAGTATCTGTAAATCCTCCCATCATGAATGAGTCATTAGTAAATACTGGAATGGATTCTCCAGTCCACACAGCTGGGTGTACCAGGGGTGGATCTGGGAAATATGTCCAGTAAGTGTCTACTTGATTCCCCTTTACCTGACAGCCCAGCAGGGCAATTACTGTTGCTACCATCATCACTGGGGTCCTGTTCTCTCCTAGGTGTCAAAGTATTCGGGAAGCCTGGGTTGTTAGCTTCTTCGCGTCTTCCCATGAAATCAGCTTTTCGACTGGGTCAATCTGGTCTTTCTTCATCTTTTTCCGATATCTCTTCCTTTTGGATAGGGGCTCCTCCGGGTCGATCCTCAGTCGCTTGAATCTGGGTTCTATCTCTTCCATGTCTGATTGCGCATTCAGGCACCCAAATAGGACGAAAAGCACCTTCTGGGAAAATACAAGCATGACCTGTCCCCCACATAATCACTGGATCTGGGCCTTTCCACTGACCGGTCTGTAAATCTTTCCACAAAACTCTGCCTAAAGGGCCTGTTACTGAGGGAGACATTTGTCTCTCAGCAGCAGTGTGACCTTCAGCGTCACAGTTTAAAAAATTTAAAACAAACAAAGCATGATTAAGGCTATTTTGGGGAGTCATAACCCTATTCCCCCCCCTTTAATTTTTGTAATTGAAGCTTAATAGATAAATGAACTCATTCCACAATGGCTTGACCTTGGGGGTTATAAGGAATTCCTGTTTTATGATCAATTTGAAAATCTTGGCAAAATTATTGAAAAGAAGAGCTTACGTAAGCTGGAGCATTATCTGTTTTAATCTGCATAGGGCACCCTAACACAGAAAAAGCTGCTAGGCAATGAGAAATTACATTCTGAGTATTTTCCTTAGTACGTGCTGTGGCAAAAATAAATCTAGAATAAGTGTCCACTATGACATGCACATAACATTGCTTACCAAATTGAGGAATATGAGTTACATCCATTTGCCATATTTGATTTGGTTTTAATCCACGGGGATTTACCCCTGATGGTAAAGATGGAGTGTGAATAACACACTTAGGGCATTGGCTTACAATCTGACGAGCTTGTTCTCTAATAATATTAAATTGTTTACGTAAGCTAGAAGCATTTTGATTATGTAAGGAATGGGAAGCTAGTGCACAGTCATATGAAGACATCTGTTGACAAAAAGTTACTAATTTATCAATTTTGTCATTACCTGAAACTAAGCGTCCTGGAAGATTAGTATGAGCTCGTATGTGTCCTATGAAACATGGGTACTTTCGCATTAGCACTGCCTTCTGTAAATTATGAAATAATTTAAATAACTCTTGTGATGAAGTATACCCAATAACTGAAGTTTCAATATTTTAAGTAACTCTGACTGCATATAAGCTGTCAGAATAAATATTAATAGGCTCATTTGAAAAGTAATTTAAGGCACAAATCAGAGCTTGAAGCTCTGCTCTTTGGGCAGAAGTATAAGAAGTTTGTATTACCTCTGTGTGAACACGACTATAAAAACCTGCTTTACCTGAGCTCGAACCATCAGTGAACACTGATAAAGCTTCATCTATAGGATGTGCACGTACAATCTTTGGAAAAATAAGTGACGTTAATGATGCAAATTGTATAATCTTATCACGAGGGTAATGGCTATCTATCTGGCCAGGAAAATCAGCAAAGGCTATCTGCCATAAGCTAGAAGTTTGAAAAAGCCAATTAGTCTGTTGAACAGAAAATGGAATGATTATGATATCAGGCTCAGATCCAATTAATTGTAAAATCCTAGTTCTACCTTTAATTACTAATTGAGCTATGGAATCATGAAAAGGAATTAATGTTTTTTGAGGGGAGTGGGATAAATAAATCCACTCAATAACTCCTAATAGCTTTTGAAAATCATTAAGGGTTTGTACGGAAACTATTTGTTCCGCTCCGGTAAAATTAAAGATGGCGGCCCCCATGGTCGGCGCGATGACGTCACATTGCGCGACCATCACCTACTTCCTCATTCTCGGCTGGGGGAGGGGCCGACCGGAAGTTTGTGTTTCGGCCAGGCGGAAATGATGACAAGAAGGCGGGCTCATCCGCGCCATCTTGATCTGCCACGTGGGATTGAGTCCTGCAATATCTATTATCACCAGTAGATGGAGCCCTGAACTTAAAATTGCGCATGTGACACTCGCGCACAAAATGATTACTTTTCCCGCAAACATAGCATCTCCCGCGGGGCTTTTGTACTAAATCTTGTGGCCTTAAGGTTTCTTTTAGTGCCGCAGCTAGGGCTACTGTCGGCAAATGGGTAGAGTCTATGTCAGAACATAAGCAGATAAACTCAGAAACTGTCCCTTTTTTACGGTGTGGCCTAAGAACGTCCTGACAATAGTTATTTGCATTTTCAAATGCCAATTGTTTAACAATAAACTCACAAGCCCCCGGGTCCCCGAGCGACCTGTTTGCGGCCTGGTACAATCAGGCTACGAAATCTGAGTAAGGTTCATTCGCACCCTGCCTGATTTTGGTAAGACCTAAATTGGATTGGTCTTTAGAGACAATCTGTTTCCAGGCACGTTTCGCAAATCAGTTATTTGATTGTATACTACAAATTCATAATTTAACTGTCTTTCTAAATCAGTAAATTCACCTGTTCCTTAAAACATTTCTACCGGTGTCTCTAAATTTCGTCTTCTATTTCTTTCTGCCTGTTCAGTACAAAAATCAGTCCAATAAGTACGCCAGAGCAAGAAATCTCCCCCACTCAGGCAAGATCTAGCTAAAGAAATCCAATCACTAGGAGGAAGGGGCTGCTAGCAAATATTTTCTATCAGGCTCTGTACAAAAGGCGAATTTGGACCATACGTCTCACATGCACTTTTTAGTTCCTTAATGGTTTTAAATGGGATTACAGTATGAACTCTAACTCTCTGATCTTGCTCATTAACTTGCTCAAAAACTGGAAAAAGTTGAAAACCGCTAGTATCCTCTCCAGCTTCTTGAGCCTTCTTAATACCTCGCTGGAACGGGGTAAGAAAAGTCATTGTTAATCCAGAGTACCTGTTAAATTTTGTCCTTTTAACAGGTAATGGCCGAATTCGAATAGCCTGGGCAGGCTGTGTTAAACGCAGCCTGTTAAAATTTCTCTGTAAGTCCTGAATTTCAATGTATGATTCTTCTCCCTCGGACTGCGAGTCATGGGTAGACTCTGCGCTGTCGCCATTTTGAAATTGGGCTTCTAAGCCACGTGGCGGAGAAGAACTCTGTGCCCCTCTAAGAACCTCTTCCGGATTTTCCTCCCCAGGACGATCCTCTACCTCTTCCGGAGGACTTTCTAGGACTGCGGAGGTTTCTTGTCTATGATGTTCCTCTCTATAATCTCCCTGCTGGCTAGCCTGATCCTGCAAGTTTAAAGTCACATTCTTTTTTTTTTTTCCTCTTTTTTTTTAAGAGAGAGTGAGAGAGGAAGAGAGCGTGCGACAGAGAATTTTTTTAATATTTATTTTTTAGTTCTTGGTGGACACAACATCTTTGTTTGTATGTGGTGCTGAGGATCGAACCCAGGCCGCACGCATGCCAGGTGAGCGCGGTACCCCTTGAGCCACATCCCCAGCCCTAAAGTCACATTCTTAACCTTCGGTTTTGCCCCTAGCGCCTTTGTTTTTAAAGGGCTCAAAGGAAAGGGAATTAACTTAGCCTCAGGCGGATTTTCCATTTGAATAGACCTAATAGCTCTCTGAATGCCTTTTAACAGGTCTTCAGGGGGCCACGAACTTTGGCCCATATATTCAAAAAGACAAACTTCCAGAGCCGTCCAAGTCTTCTGAATATTATCTATGCCTCCAGGTAATTCATTAGAAAGACAAACTTTTTGTAACTTCCTTCCTAATTTCTCCCAAGTAAGTAAATTTGGAGACTCTTCACCTACAATCTTTAAGAATTGTAATAACTGAGTTTTCTTTGTTTTCCTTTCTGATTAATTATACTGTCTAAAATAGTCATATACATTTCCTTATTCGTAGAAGTTGAATTTCCCATTTTAATTAATTTAACGTCTCTTTCCTTCAATATCTCCAGGTACTTTTGTGACCCAAATTGTCACCACTTCCTTTATCTTTATCTTTATAGCACGCTCCCACTCAATCTAGCTAATCTAGAATGCCCCCCTCGTGGGCGCCAATTCCACCATGCGACCAGCGCACTGATTTCATTAATGAGGTTCTTGGCTTAAAAGTTAGCTAGCAAGATTGAAATAAAACACACAGACTCAGTTACCTTTTTCTATGACCAGGTCCGAGACGGCTCCCCTCTCTGGTTCTCACCTCGAACCACCCGGTAGGGCAGCAAGGATTACTTAGGGCTTGCAGGAGAGAGAGAGATGGAGCACGCCAGGGAGTAGCCTTTTATTGGGGAACAAGAAATTCAGGGGAGAATTCCATCCAATGAAGGTTGAGGGGGGCCGCACTCCAAGGTCAGGGTCAGTGATTGGCCCCCAGGGTTAGTGGTCAGTCACACCCCCACACGGACGGGCTCTCTCATCAGGAGAGGGCCGGGAAAGCTCCGACACAGATTAGCCAGAGCTCCTCAGACCCAAACCGGGAGTTGCCCAGTCACGTGGAAGCAAACTTCCAGCTGCCGGCTGATGATTGGCTCACAGCGGCCCCAGCAACATCTAGCTGATTGGCTCCTCGGCCCCAGCAACATCTAGCTGATTGGCTCCTCTGCGGTGATGCTCATTGGGCTGTTTCCCTGCCCTTTCAGACCACGGAGCTGCTCATTGGGGGACTTTTTTGGCTCCGCCCACGTGACCCAGCCAATCGGCCTCAAGAGCAGGAGGATTGTGGGAGGTGGGGAGAAGCTTGTGGGGGAGAGAGAGGCTTGTGGAAAGCCGGTGGTGGCAGTTGAGGCTCTGAGGGTTTTTCCTGAGAGGCTGTTTTGTTTGGCGTGTGTGGTTCTAAAAATAAAGTTAGTTTCTTTTGACAAGTGGCTCCTGATTGTGCCCAGCCAGACTGCGGCATTGCTTGTTCTGTATTCCCAAAAACTCTGGTAGCTGTTTGAATAAGCCTATCTACAAATTCAGCATAAGGTTCATTAGCTCCTTGTATTACCTTAGATAATTGACCTTGTAAACCTCCATGTCCTTGTAAAGTCTTCCATGCCTTAATTGCATCTGCAGCAATTTGTGCGTATACGCCAGGATCATATGCAATTTGTTGCTGCTGATCCTCATAAGGTCCCTTTCCTAACAACATATCTAGATTTCTCTGAGGATAACCAGCTGCTGCATTTCGCCTAGCCGTCTCCTTGCAAAATTCCTCATTGGCAACCTTCCATAACAGGTATTGTCCTCCATTTAGCACAGCTTTACACATATTAGCCCAATCTGCTGGCGTCATGTTCAAGTTGTTAATGGATTCGACCATGCTTACAGTGAAGGGTACTTGAGGACCATAGGTTGTTACAGCCTCTTTTAGCTGCTTCACTGTTTTGAAATTTAAAACTTGGTAAAATCGCTGCCCTCCTGCCTCAAATACAGGGCATGTTAATATTTGAGATCTTGTCTCAGGATCCCAACTATCAACTGCGGGGGTTGGGGACCTCCCAGCATATGGAGGTGGCCTTGTTAGTTGGACACTTACATCCTCTGGTGATAGAAAGGTGTTAGTGGCAGTCTGCTGTTGTAACTTTCCCCCTGATGGCTTTTTCTGTTTTACACTTTCTTTCTCTGTCTGACTAGCTTGAGAGGCCTTCTCTTTTACTTGAATCTTTTCCTCTGTCTGACTAACTTGAGAGACCTTCTCTTTTACTTGAATCATTATGTCTTCTTCTTCCTCTACCATTGTCTGAACTGAAGGCTTTGGACTAAGCAAACAAGATATGAACGTCCACAATGGCAATGTGCCAACTGGCAGAGTCCCTGGGCTTTTCTTTTCTATTCTTTTTAAATCTTCACCATGATGGTTCCATTGTGATATATTTAACAACTCCTCCTTAAAAAGCCATGGGCTACATTTTTGTATTGTATCAACGTATGCCCTGATTGTTCTTGATTTTACTGAGATGCCTCCTTCCTCTAACAATTTACTTAACATTCTTTCAGTTTTTTTACTAATTTCTGATCCCGTATTTCTACTATAATACAACCCAACAAGATAACGCCTAACAAAACTGAAACTGAGCGAAACAAAATAACAAAAGAAGAATCTTAAAATGGCTACCCATCCTCTCGCCCTGCCCTCAGGGGCGAGCAGTTCACTTACCCTCAGTCGCTCCCCGTGCGAGCCACCAAATGCCGCAGTCTGGCTGGGCACAATCAGGAGCCACTTGTCAAAAGAAACTAACTCTATTTTTAGAACCACACACGCCAAACAAAACAGCCTCTCAGGAAAAACCCTCAGAGCCTCAACTGCCACCACCGGCTTTCCACAAGCCTCTCTCTCCCTCACAAGCTTCTCCCCACCTCCCACAATCCTCCTGCTCTTGAGGCCGATTGGCTGGGTCACGTGGGCGGAGCCAAAAAAGTCCCCCAATGAGCAGCTCCGTGGTCTGAAAGGGCAGGGAAACAGCCCAATGAGCATCACCGCAGAGGAGCCAATCAGCTAGATGTTGCTGGGGCCGAGGAGCCAATCAGCTAGATGTTGCTGGGGCTGCTGTGAGCCAATCATCAGCCGGCAGCTGGAAGTTTGCTGGCAGCTGGAAGTTTGCTGGGGCCCCTTCAGCAACAGAGAATGGCTTCCCACAAGGTATGTTTCCAATAACAGTTTAATTTTCTGAGCCTTTATGATGTTAATTGGTCTCATTGATTTATGTGGTACTGTTGGGGCTCCCATGGATCCTAGCTATTGCTGACTGAGGGTGTGGAAGACATTTTCCTTGAGCAGGATATCTCCTAGTGGGGAAGGGGAGACTCAGACTCATGGGGATGAAGAGGCTTCCTAGGCTAGGTGGCTGTGGCTTGGTCCCTTTTGACAGTTCTGCCTCTTCACATATCTTTTGTTAAAGGGAGGGAGTCTCATGTGTATGAAATTAAAAAAGCTTCTGTTCCTTTCCCTTGATGGGGCTGGGTCTCTTTTGCCAATCCTGTCCATTCACCTTGGAATCTCTCACTGAGGTTGGGGAAAGTCTCTACCCCAGCATGGAAGGCAGGTATCTGTCTTGGCTGCTTACTATGGATAAATCCCAGGCTAATCCTCTTGGCCAATTTTGTCTTGTTTCTCTGATGTTGTAAGAAGGATTTCCATTCAGGCAACTTTCTATTGATATTATGGGGATTGGAAAGCCCTGGATCTGAGTAACTTTCTTCTGCTGGGATATAAGACACCCTACTATGCTATTCTTCTATCCCTGGACTCCAAACCAGTTTGCCTTCTTCTTAACACGTTTTTAAATTGGTGTATTATAATTATACATGATAGTGGGATTCATTATGCCATATGTGTACATACACATAACATAATTTGATCAGTCTCATTCCTCATTGCCATCCCTTCCCACCTTTTCCTTCCCTGGATCCATTTGCTCTACTCTACTTATTATTATTTTAATTAGTGTGCTATAATTATGTTATCTATAAGTGAGGAATTCATTGTGGTATATTCATACATGGACACAGCATAATTTGGTAGATTTTATTCCCCAGTATTTCCCTGTTCCCTTTTTAATACTTTTTAGAATTCTCTTTTGGTTGTTTCTTGCATTATTTAATGGGTTTGTTGTTTGCAGGGAGGATTGGGGAGAAATCGATCTGTATAATTTTGTTCAGACTGGACCAGAAATCACTTGTTTCTGTACATCTTAATAGCAATCATCATTGACTTTTCTCTCCAATCCTGTAGTTTTTGCTCTGGGAAGCAGATGGCTGATTCTCCTATTTATTCTAACAGGGTTAAAGCTCAAAAATGGCACTGGAAATGAACATCTTAAATCTGTTTCTCCATCAGAAATACAAGCACCAGGATGCAAAGTATCAAAGAAGACCAGAGTGAAAGTTGTCCAGATAACAATGGGCAAGGAAAATCATGATGATATATACAGGGTACAGAAACAGGGTCGAGCTTTACCAAGGAAGAAAAGAAAGAAACTTTCAACTTGCAAACAAGAGCTTCCAAAACATATGGATCTTCACAGGAAAGGATACACAGGAGAGAAACCTTTTAAATGTCAGGAATGTGGGAAAAGCTTCAGAGTTAGCTCTGATCTTATTAGGCACCAGAGAATTCACACTGAAGAGAAGCCCTATAAATGTCAACAATGTGATAGGAGGTTTAGATGGAGTTCAGATCTCAATAAGCACTTCATGGCACATCAAGGAATAAAACCATATAGATGTTCATGGTGTGGGAAAAGCTTCAGTCACAACACAAATCTACACACACACCAACGAATTCACACAGGAGAGAAGCCTTTTAAGTGTCAAGAATGTGGAAAAAGATTTAATCAGAACTCTCACCTTATTAAACACCAGAGAACTCACACAGGTGAGCAGCCTTATACTTGTAGCATGT